TATAATATTGGATATTGACTCACCGGGATGTTTCTTCTATGCGGTCGAGCACTATAACTGCGACTTCTGGAACCTCCTCTGGACTCTCCCCAGAGATACGTCGGGAGAGAATCGGTGTGGTTTCAACGGCGAGCGCGGCGGGAAGAGGCCACGCGTCGGTCGCGCGTGTCTTATATATCCTCGGTTCCGATGATTACGTGATGTTCTAGAATCATCTTCTTTCCCCTCCCACCCCACCACCCCGATGTGTCGATAGGAGGGTACGAATGATATCGTTTTGGAAAGGGATAACCGATTTGGCAGCCTACCGTCAAATAAAACAAATACGAATGGTTTTCCGCGCAACCAATAACCATATTCCCTTTTTTCCAAAATAAATATCTTCATGACAATGCTAACAAATGTGACAACAAAAGGAGGATTAATTTTTATTTCCTTCGCCACAAATAGTTAATCAATTTCAATTTTCTTTTCAACAAAGCAAGTATAATGATCAAATATATTTACAAAAACATATGTACAAGTATTCAAAGAGTATATCGAATTCACCCTGTTTACGGAAAAACCAAAGCAATTTTTTTTTCTAAGCATTCAAAGCTCCAGGTTAGCCCTAGGCTCCCCACCAACCAAGTGGAGGCCACACCGACTTTGAACTCGAATCCAATAGAGCGCGAACCGTTACACAATTGCCACTCGGGTGGTACACCTTCACTGAGGCCGTCGGCAATAGAACAGTTTGACAAGTAGACTGTTGACAGCTCAAAGGATCAGTGGTGGCGGCCATAGTGGGAGCTAGGGCGAACGCTACCTAGCTGTAGCGACCTACATCAGACCGTCACTCGAACCGGGGGTCCCGAAAGCGGCCTTCCGGCGGCATCTCACTGACCCGTGGTTGGAAATCACCGAACGGGCCCACCTGGGAGCTTCGGGGAACCTCGGCCTTGAGCATCGCCCGAAAGAGGGCGTGGCTGAGCGCCCCCCGCCCGTGGGGGTTGAGGGCCCGGCAGAGCCTCGAGAGGAAGCGCCGTTCGCACCCAGGCCCAAAACGGCATGTTGATTGCCCTGGCAGTGCGGACAGGGCAGTCTCGTTGGAGATGCCTTTCCAAACACGAATAGCACTAGCGGCGCTCCTTGGTGATGGTTCGCCTCGCCGGGACCGGCTTACCCAATAATTTCGGGCACGACGTCATCCGATGATCGGATGCTCGACAATAGGAGCAGGGGGCGCCTCCCTGGCCACTAGGCCACTGTGTGTGCGTGTGCGTGTGCATGTTCTTGTTCGTGTGCTGGTGAGTGTGCATGTGCGTGTGCGTGTGCGTGTGCGTGTGCTTGTGCGTGTGCGTGTGCGTGTGCGTGTGCGTTTGCGAGTGTGTGTGCGTGTGCGTGTTCTTGTTCGCTGCGTGTGCATGTGTGTGTGCATGCGCGTGTGCGTATGCGTGTGGGTGTTCTTGTTCAAGTGTGTGTGTGCGTGTGCGTGTGTGTTTGCGTGTGCGTTTTCATGTGCGTGTGCGTGTACGTGTGCGTGGTCGTGTGCGTGTGTGTAAGCTCGCGCGCGCGTGTGTGTGTGAGTGTGCGTGTGCGTGTGCGTGTGCGTGTTCTTGTTCACTGCGTGTGCATGTGTGTGAGCGTGCGCGTGTGCGTACGCGTGTGCGTGTTCTTGTTCATGTGTGTGGTGCGTGTGCGTGCGCGTTTGCATGTGCGTGTGCGTGTACGTGTGCGTGGGTGTGTGCGTGTGTGTAAGCACGCGCGCGTGTGTGTGTGTGGCGCGTGTTTTCGTGCTCGCGTGTGTGTGCGCGCCTGTGTGCGTTTTAGTTTGCGTGTGTGTGTGTAGGCAAGTGTGTTTGCGTGTCTGTGTGTGTGTGTGTGCGGTACTTGTGCGTTTGTGCGTGTGCGTATACGTGTGCGTGTGCGTGTGCGTGTGTGTGTTTGTGGGTGCGTGGGCGTGTGCGTCTTGCGTGTGCGTGTGCGTGTGCGCGTGCGTGTGCGCGTGCGCATGCGTGCGTGTGCCTGTGTGTGTGCGTGTGTGTGTGTGTGAGTGTGTGTGTCTGTGTGTTTTTGTTTGCGCATGTGTATGTGTGCGTCTGCGTATGCGTGTTCGTTTGCGTGTGCGTGTGCGTGTGCGTGTGCGTGTAAACAGAAACAGAAACAGAAACAGAAACTTTTTATTCAGTGTAGAATATCAATATAGATAAGCAATACTTATTGAAAGTCAATTTTTTCATTTACTACTTGTTCGCAAAAAAAACCTCTGTCCTGGGAAGAACCAGCAAGAAACCCAGCGGTACTATTTTTTTTTTCAAATAATAGCTTACAATCATGTTTACAATTAACAACACAACATAAATTAGAAATAGCTTGGTAGCGATCACCCTTCCCAGGGGTTACTATCATCCATAAATTTCTTAATATTATAATAACCCTTTTTATACAAACTTAGTTTAATAAAATTTTTGAACTTTGTGTATGAAAAATTTTGTATATTTTCTGGGATTTTGTTGTAAAAGCGTATACATCGCCCCAAGAATGAATTACTGACTCGGCGGAGTCGAGTAACTGGTACTACTAATTTGTGTCTGTTCCTAGTATTTATTTTATTTATTTATTTTATTTATTTATTTTATTTATTTATTTATTTGATTATTTTGCATAATGTGTGTGTTTTACAGTTGTTATAAAGAAAAAATATAGTACAACACATTAACAATTTCTGGTGTACAAAATGATATAAATTTAAAAACATTAAGTATTATTAACTACAATATATATTAAAATTACAAAAAAAGCCATTGATAATAATTAACAAACAAAAAAAACATAAAAATAAACTAGAAAGGGACATAATAAAACAAAAACATTTAATATGCTATCACATTATTAATATTTATATTTTCATGTCACATTATATATTATTATTAAGAATAGTCCAAAATTTAAAGATATTGTTTTTCCAACAACTCACTAACCGAATAAAAAGATTTATTAAATAGCCACTTTTTCAACTCGTTCCCGAAACTCTTCCTTGGTTGTAGTTTTATGTTATCGGGTATAGCGTTAAATACTTTTATACACATTGCATAGCAATTCTTATGATAATTAACCGTTTTTGGTATTTTATCAATGACTAATTTATCTGGATGCCTCAAAGGTTTGGATTTGATAATATATTCAGCAGTTATAAACAGCTCGGGGTTATTTTTAACAAATTTTGGTGTTTCAAGAATGTATATGCACGGAAGTGTTAGCACTTTCAAATCTCTAAATATTGATTTACACGACTCATGAGGGGCCATATTACATACTGCACGTAGATATTTTTTTTTGCACAATAAAAACTTTATTGATGTCTACAGAATTACCCCATATTATTATACCGTAGCTAAGTATACAATAAACGTATCCGTAATACGCAATGAGAGCTGATAATTGCGATGCCGTTTTTGTAAGGTTCCGTAATACGTAAAATGACAGTTATTAAATTACATTAGATACAGAATGAATATCACTTATTTTTGCAAAACTACGTTTATTTTTGTGTACGTACATTACATTTTCATAAATATATTGAGAGGCCAGAGTTAATATATTAATTTCCTTAAATTTTTGTCTCAGTGACTCTTTTGGTTTTAAATTATATATTGCTCTAATGGCTCTCTTCTGTAAAATAAATATAATTTCAGTGTCAGTCGCGTATCCCCATAGCAAAATACTATACGACATAATGCTATGGAAATAACTAAAGTAAACTATTTTTGCTGGTAAGAGTTCTAATCTTTTTTACAGCATATGCTGCAGAACTAAGTCTGCTAGCTAGTTTTGATATATGGGGGAGCCATTGAAGCTTTGCGTCTAGTGTGATTCCAAGAAAATTGGTGGTATCAACAAGACTCAGTTCTTCCACACTTAAAATTACATTCATATTAACATGTTTGACATTAGGAGTTACGAATTTCATACATTTAGTTTTAGTTCCATTTAAATGCAAATTATTAACATTAAACCAATAGACTACCTTAGCTATAGCATTATTTTCTTCGTCATAATTTAATAACTGTCATTTTAATTAAACTGAAAATTAATGAAGTATCATCAGCAAATAATACTATATCATGGTTATCCCCTACTATGTAAGGTAAGTCATTAATATATACAAGAAACAAAAAGGGGCCGAGAATTGAGCCCTGAGGCACGCCCATTTGTGCAGTCGACCCGGAAGAACTCCTACTATTAATTACAACTTTTTGCGTTCTGTCACTTAAATATGAAATAATTGATTTAAGAGCATCACTTCTTACACCGTAGTGTTGAAGTTTTCTGATTAATGTTTCATGGTGAACACAATCGAAGGCCTTGGATAGGTCACAGAATATACCCAAAGCATCCTGTAAATTCTCCAATGCATTAAAGATATATTTAATAAGCTCAACACCAGCATCAGTTGTTGAGCGACCCCTTGTGAAACCGAATTGATTTTTATGAAGTAAATTATTTACATTAAAAAAATTTAACATTTGATCAAGAATAATTTTTTCAAACATTTTTCAAAAGTTTTAGCAGTATAGAAATAGGTCTAAAATTAGCGGGGTCCAATGTACTGCCAGATTTAAATAAAGTTATTACTTTACTATGCTTCATTAAATCAGGAAACACACCAGATTAGATACTAGTATTAACCTTCCGTGCACCATGTCTAATAAACCCCCAGCGAAACAAAAATATCTGTAACTCTTTAAAATTCGCACGCTTGCTCTGATGCTTTAAGTAGCTGGAGTTGCGACGTTGCCAAACCCCCTAGTGACAGTGATTTAGTAAATGTGTCGCGGGCGCAGCGGATAGACCTATCCAAATTGCTTCAGGGTCTCACAAACCCCACGTGGTTTGGGACGTCGTCTAAAACGTAAGTAGTGTGTTTTTGTAGAATGCAGTAAAACTGTATTATTTTCTACTTTTTTTGACAGTTTGTTTTATGTTAACGTGTTATCAACAGGTGCCTTGGATTTGAAATGGCTCATCGAATTAGTGACAATGCAATAGCATCTGCCCTTGTGGAAGAAAGTGACGACGAATTGGATGAGCTCTTTTTACCTGGAAGCGAAGATGAATCGGATCATTTGAGTGTGCAGTCTGAATGTGAAAGTGAAGTAGAAGAAGAAGAAATTACTTCGGGTGGTGAGTTTTCTAGTTCTCATCAGTTTTATATGGGTAAAGACTGCAAAACTAAATGGCTAAAGGAACCGCTAAGGACTAATATTCGTACAAGAAATGAAAATATAATTACACATTTACCGGGGAGTAAATAGTCATTATAAAGATAAAAAACCCATTCGGAATGTTTCGAAGCATTTATTTCCAATGAAATACTAGAGATACTTGTAAAATGTACCAATGTAAGAATATGCTTTTCTAAACCACAGTCATCAGATGGCAAAAACATAAATGCGCTGTATACTGAAACAACTAAATCTGAAATAAAAGCTGTTTTAGAGCTTTTATTTTTAGCTGGATTGTATCGATCTAGTAGACAAAACCTCAACGATTTATGGGCTCATGATGGTACAGGAATTGAAATATTCCGTTGCACAATGTCGAAAAATCGATTCTCGTTTTTACTCAATAATTTGAGATTTGATGATATTGCGACAAGGGAAGAAAGAATAAAGACTGATCGTTTGGCACCAATCCGAGACATTTTCGAGATCTTTGTCCAAAGTTGTCGAAATGCGTATACACCTTTTGAATACGTAACACTAGATGAAGAGTTAGTTGCCTTTCGGGGTAGATGTGGTTTCCGCCAATATATTCCATCTAAACCTGCCAAATATGGAATAAAAATATATGCCTTAGTAGATGCAAAAACATATTACACCATGCATTTAGAGATTTACTGTGGTAAACAATCAGATAATAGTCCTTTCGCGGTCAGCAACAAACCCTATGACATCGTCGATCGTATGGTGAATTGCGTTTCTGGCTCTTCAAGAAATATAACAATGGACAATTTTTTCACCAGTTACGAAGCTACTGAAAATTTACTATTCAAACATAAACTAACAGTAGTTGGTACCTTCAGGGCCAATAAAACTTGCATTCCACTGTGTTTCAAGCTAACATGAGAGGAACGTTCTTCAAGATTTGGTTTCCAAAAGGATATAACTCTGGTTTCTTATGTACCAAAGCCACACAAACACGTATTCGTAATGTCGTCTCTACGTCATGATCAAGAAATAGATGAGGATACCGGCAACCAGCAAAAACCATCCATAATTACATTCTACAATAAAACTAAAAGTGGAGTGGATGTGGTGGATAAACTCGCGAGGAGATATGACGTGTCTCGTAAGTCTAGGCGCTGGCCACTCACTATATTTTTTTCGATGCTCAATCACGCGGGAATCAATGGTATAATCTTACACATGTTGAATAATTGTATTGAAACAGTAAAAACTAATCATAGAAGGAGGTTTATTCGCGATTTAGGAATGGCTCTGATAGATGAGCATTTGAGAAACCGTAAAGACAATCCACGGATTCCGAAAGATTCTCGTAAACGCATATATGATTTATTTGGTGAAACGCCTCAGGAGCCGCTAAAAAAAATAGCAAGATCTAAAACAAGGTGTTCGGAATGCGACAGGAGGAAAGACCGAAAGACCAAGTACAGTTGTGAGAAATGTGAAGTACCTATATGCTTAAAGCACGCACACTTTTACTGTAAAAACTGTGCTGACTATAACTACCCAGGATCTCATGAAGACTGAATATATTAAGCCACCTCTAACTGTTTTTTATTTTTTATTACGTTGGCCTTTGAAACGAAGGATATAAAGGTTTTTCAAAAATATTTTTTATTAATATAGGCTATGCCAAAAAAGAGTATAATTTTTAGTTTGTGAAAAACTCACTTTTATGTTTTTCATATATAAGAGTATTAAAATGTTTATTCTATTTCACTAGTTTATTTTATGTTTATCCAATAATAAATCAAAAAACACTATACACACAAAAAACACATTCTATTACTCGATAATAATCAGGGTCCAGAAAACACCACGTGTTGCAGGACGTAACTTTTATGCACGAGGTTCACGGAAGGTTAAAAATAATTGATAGTTGAGGTGCGATTGCATCTATTATAGACGCAATGACTTTAACGGAAATCCCCCACAGATCGGCGGTTTTCTTATTGTAATATCAATAGTCTTAAAATATTTTAGAATATCTTTTGATGACACTTTATGAAATGTAAAATTCTTTGTACACGCATTTACATTTTGTTTAAATAAGGATTCGGTGACGGCAGGAGAAGAATTCAATAACTTAGTGGTTAAGATAGGAATATCAGTAAAGTATTTCTCTTAATAAGTGTGCGTAGTTGTATACGTGCGTGCGTGCGTGCGCGCGCGCGCGCGCGCTCGTGTGTGTGTGTGTGTGTGTGTGTGTGCGTGTGTGTGTGTGTGTGTGTGTGTGTGTGTGTGTGTGTGTGTGTGTGTGTTGTGTGTGTGTGTGTGTGCGCATGTGTATTTGCGTGCGTGTACATGTACGTGTGCATGTGCGTGTGCGGGTGCGTTTGCGTGTGCGTGTGCGTGTGCGTGCGCGTGTGCGTGTGTGCGTGTGTGTGAGTGTGCCTGTGCGTGTGCGTGTGCGTGTGTTGTGCTTGTGAGTGTGCATGTGCATGTGCGTGTGCGTTTGCCTGCGCGTGTGCATGTGCGTGTTCTTGTTCGCTGCGTTTGCATGTGTGTGTACGCATGTGTATTTGCGTGCGTGTTCATGTGCGTGTGCGTGTGCGTGTGCGTGTGCGTTTGCGTGTGCGTGTGCATGTGCATGTGCGTGTATGTGTGCTATTGCATGTGCGTGTGCGTGTGCGTTTGCGTGTGCGTGTGCATGTGCATGTGCGTGTATGTGTGCGTGTGCTTGTGCGTGTGCGTGTGCGTGTGCGTGTGAGTGTGAGTGTGCCTGTGTGTGTGCGTGTGCGTGTGTTGTACTTTTGAGTGTGCATGTGTGTGTGCGTGTGCGTGTGCGTGTGTGTGTTCTTGTTCGCTGCGTGTGCATGTGTGTGTGCGTGTGCGTGTGCATGTTCTTGTTCGTGTACGTGTGCGTGTGCGTGTGCGTGTGCGTGTGCGTGTGTGTGTGCGTGTGCGTGTGCGTGTGTGTGTTCGCGTGTTTTCATGCTCGCGTGTGTGTGCGTGCTTGTGTGTTTGTGTGTGTTTGCGCGTGTGTGTGTACGCAAGTGTGTGTGCGCGGGTGTGTGTGTGCGTGCGTGTGTAAGTGCGTGTGCGTATGCGTATGCGTGTGCGTGTGAGTGTACATGTGCGTGTGCGTGACGTGTGCGCGTGCGCGTGCGTATGCTTGTGTGTGTGCGTGTGCGTATGTATATGTGTGGTAAGTTTAATTTGTGTGGGTGTAAATATTTAATATCTATGTTAGTAATTAAGATAAGTAAGTAAATATAAGTAGTTAACTTATTGAGACTTAAACAGAGCTGCTCAGTTATATATATATATATATATATATATATATATATATATATATATATATATATATATATATATATATATATATATATATTTTATATATATATATATATATATATATATATATATATATATATATATATATATTTGGAGTATTTACCATCTAGGCCGCAGATGCCGATGCAGACCGCGGCCCGCCGGTCGATTACTGGTGGCTCGCCGACAGCAAAAATAATACTCTCGTACATTCGAAAAATATTGTATTCCAGAATAAAACCAAGCGCGTTGATGACGGCAGCGCGGTGGCGGCTTATCCACGGGTTATATTCTTAGAGCAAAGCGAGATAGCAATAGTCCCGAATTCCCGATTGCTCGCGTAGGTCCAAGCTTCCAGAGTCGGTTTCGTGATTTCTACAAAACCCATTCAAGATTCAGAAACAGCTACAGAAGTTAGTTATGAAATTTCTCGAATGATAGCAAAGCGAAGTCGCCCCTTCAATGATGGGGATTTTGTAAAAGAATGCATAGAAATTGCCGTTAAGAAAATGTGTCCAGAAGCAGCAAAAAAGTTTGAGAAAATTCAACTGAATCGTATGACTATCCAAAGACGAATTATGTCTTTGTCAGGTAATGTTGCGGAACAATTATATGAAAAAACTAAGATCATTGAATTTTTTTCATTAGCACTCGAAGAATCCACTAGTTCCACAGCTCAACTTCTGATATTCATACGAGGTGTTACTCAAGATTTTGAAGTCTTAGAAGAGTTATTAGGAATGTGTTCATTGAAAGGTTAAACCAGAGAAGTTGATATACTCAATGTACTTTTGGATGAGTGTTCAAAAACTGATTCGGACTAATCAAAATTATCGGGAGTTGCGACTGACGGTGCTCCTTCGATGATTGGTGTCAAGTTTGGGCTAGTTACTTTGCTGAAAAAGCATCTGCAAGAAAAAAACATAAACGCTGAAGATCTCATGCAGTTTCACTGCATTATACACCAAGAAGCCCTTTGTTCTAAAAAAATTAATTTCAAAATGTCATGAAAGTGGTAGTTTCGACGTGTAAATTTCATAAAGTCACGAGTACTCAATCACAGGCAATTCAAACAATTCCTTGATGACATCGAAAGCGAATATGGTGGTTTACTGTATTATATAGAAGTAAGGTGGCTAAGTCGTGGATTGACACTGGAACGATTTCTAAATTTAATAGAAGCAATTGAAATATTTCTGGCGGAAAAGAAAAGGGATGTCCTGGAACTTAAAAATCCTGATTGGTTGTGTGATTTGCCTTTTTTAGTTGATATTACAAATCATTTGAATGTTTTGAACACACGGCTTCAAGGAAAAAATCAACTGATATCCCAGCTCTACGCTTATGTATCATGCTTTTAATGCAAGCTGATACTTTTCAGATCGCAAATGAATTCTGGAAATTACAATCATTTTCCGAATTATAAGAAAATGGCTGAAAAATTCAACAAAACTGCGATTAATTTCAGTTATGTAGAAAAGCTAGATATTTTGATTCAATCTTTTCAAGACAGATTTTCGGAGTTTATAAAAGTGAAACCTCTGTTGGACATATTCAGCAATCCTTTCACGATTTCAATTGAAAATGCGAGTCAATGCAGTTAGAAATTATCGACATTCAAAACGACCAAGAATTACACAACAAATTTAATGAAGGAGACTTGCTGAACTTTTACCGCTGCATTGATAAAAATACGTAAAAATAGTTGCGCATAAACGCTTTAAAATGTGCCAGGTTATTTGGTTCTACCTATATATGTGAACAAACCTTTTCAATACTAAATAATAATAAAACAAAAAATCGAAACCGCCTTGCAAATGAAACTTTGGAAGCAGTTTTACGTGTTGCTACAAGTAAATTTGAGTCAAATATAAAAAAAAAGATTGTAAGCACTATGTAGTGCCACGCTTCAAATTAATAAATTCTTGAATAAAACTAAATTTACGGTAAATTTAGTTTTATTCAATGTGTAGTGTTCGCGTAAATTTAAGAAATCATTAATAAATTCTTTTTCAATTTTAATACATTATTGTCAATTCTTTATTGTCTTTAATTATCTATACTTCTGGCGGCCCGCCATCAGTTTATAATTTGCCCAAGTGGCTACTAGTCTTAATAAGTCTGTGCATCACTGAACTAGACCCAGATGAGATGAATTCAGCTTATTGTTTGAGTTACGTTTGTTATAATTCTTAACCAGAGACAATAAATTACTTTTTAAAAGAGTATTGGAGAACTCAACCGTCAAATTAGATGTTTTGTTTTCCTTTTTCGAATATTGCCTTAACACATCTCGAATATTGAGACTTGCAAGTCGATTTCTATGAGCTTTGATAATTTTATTAGCATATCATATAGATCTTTCCTTGATTCTTGGATCCTTTTAGGTAAAAAACGACACAAGTCTTTAAGCAACTGCGATCATGAGACTCCATTTTCTCTTCTTGCCAAGATAGTTTGTTAGCCACGCTCCTGTTCCAGGTAAGTAATTTTAGACTCCAGCAAAGTTATCTGTTCAGATATAAAGTTCATGGACTTTTCTATGTCGGTGTTGGTATTTTACACACCCACACTCAGGAGTGGAGTAGCTTGGTTGTGAATGCTCAGCGAAGAATTCTTCAGGGATGCTAGTACCTTCCTGCGGTATTACTGCATTTAATTCCGCTACCATATTGATGAGAGGAGGGAGGAATCAGGCCTCCGGCCACCTATACTCACAAGAGGAAACGCAGAAGCAGAGCCTCTACTTTGCACCGGTCTTCTGTGAGGACGTGGTACCACCACGGTTCGCGCCGGCCCATACGTGCCACAGAAAAGGCTGCCGCGTGGCTCTACCTCTGTAAAAACTGTATTTAAATTGACATACTTAAATGTATTTAAACAGACAGCATATTTACTTAATTTTCTTTATAAAATAATAGTAATAAAGTTATTTATTAACATCACTAATACTTCATTAAACATAAACATATTTTAATCCTATTAGTCCTTGAAGATGGTTTTAATTTAAAAACATTATTGACTAAGTTAAGTATTTAGTTCATTAAAAAATATTACTTTAGTTACAGAACATAGTCTTAAAAATGTGGATTACGTTACGATATCCAATCTCTTTTCTATTCTATACTTGAGCTTGCAATCGACAAAGCAAACAAGTGTATCTACATATATTAATGCTGGTGAAAACATTTCCACTAAGGAAAACATCCGTGTAGAGTTGATTATATTTACCCTACACCGAAGTCGTTCCAAGTTCGTTTCATCAGTAAAATTTGTAAAAGCATTTGTTTTCAATGTATTACGTATTTCGTAAAATTAATGGAACAATAATATTTACCGTCGTTGTTTCCTTAATGCTTTAATCCGTTTAATTGCAAAATTATATTATTTTATTAATTATTGAAATTATATATAAAAGCGTAGTGGCGATGTAAGAGTATTACCTCGCCACTATATTATGTATTACCTACTCTATATAGTCCAGTAGGTGTCACACTTACATATATATAATTGTTACATACATATGATGATTCCGAGAAATCCATTCATTACAGTCTGTAATTAATGGATTTCTCAGAATCATCTAAGACATCCGGTGTACACAAATACATAAATAAAATGATCTCAATCATCACCATTACAGCCCTTCACAAGTCAGCGAGGCTGCCACTCGACAACCCTTTTTCCCCATCGGTTGTTGGTTCTTCGAGCTATATGGCCAACCCATTGCCACTTCAGTTCACTAATCAGTTGAGCTATGTCGGTTACTCTGGTTTTACTGCAGCATGCTCATTCCTAACTTTATCTCGTAGAGAAACACCGAGCAGAGCCCTCTCCATAACTCGCTGGGCGACCTTGAGCCTCCTCATTCAGTCAGCGTTCCTCATTCCTCCTCATTCAATCATTCGACCACGTCTCAGATCCATAAGTTATCACTGGTAACACGCACTGGTTGTAAAATCTGGTTTTCAGGTTTTGAGGTATACCTAAAGAGAATATGTGTCGTAATTTCCCGAACTCTGCCCAGCCGTGTTGAATCCGTCGATTGACCTATCTGTCGAAGCTGGATTTGCCTAATCGGACTATTTATACCTCGTAACCATACTCGTCAACAACTTCGAGCAAAGTGCTTCCAACAACTATCGGCATGAGTGTGACTTAGACATTAAACTCTTTCTCTTTGATCTTTGTTTTATCCACGGTCATCTAAAAACCTATCCGATGGGAGACACTATTGAGGTCATTGAGCATAAAGCTTAAGTCCTCTAGCGATTCTGTTATAAGAACTATGTCGTCGAAAAATCAAAGGTGAGTAATGTACTCGTTATTAATGTTAATACTCTATCTTTTCCAGTTCAGTAGCTTGAAAACGTCTTTCAATGCAGCGGTAAAGATTCTCTGGGATATAACAAATAATATATATATATATATATATATATATATATATATATATATATATATATATATCTGCAGATAAATATAAATATATCTGCAGTCGGATAAGTTTCGTACTCTGATATCCTTTTGGAGATAAAAAACCATATTAGTCCCGACGTACTATGTTTCACCGAAACATTTGTTAAAACAGGTGAAGAAAAAAATATACTCATAAATAATTATGAATTAGCCACATCATTTTCAAGATCATCTAAAAGAGGAGGTAGTTGTAAATTAGTAAAAAAAGGTCTTGATTATAAGAAAATAGGGTACTTCGATGCTCTTGCTATGACTTACCACTTTGAATGTTTTGCAATAAATCTTAGTAATAATAATTTAATTATTGTTTGCATATTATATAGAATTCCGCCAAAAGCAAAAAGTCATTTAGAATATTTTTTTAATAAAATTGACTCACTTATTAATAAATATATAATAAAACATTCAAAAAGTAGATAAATATTAATGGGGACATGAATATTAATATACTTGAATCCAGTCATTACGCCATATGTCTTAAGGACATTGTGAAAAAATATAACCTTCATTTTGATATAAAACAAACAACTAGAGCCAAATCGTGTCTTGATCTTATTATCAGTAACATTGACGACGCAATTGGATCTGTGCGTTCACTATGGTTGTCAGATCTGCACAGGTACTAAAGTTTACTGAAAAAAATAATAAGAACATCACACCAAAATTAATATATTCATTCATTCGACATCATTCCGTAGAAAATATAGACAGATTTAAAAAGTATTTAAAATGCGTTTCATTTTGTGAAGTTTATGCTCAGTCTGATTTAAATAAAGTGTATGACGAATTCTTTAGCCTTTTCACATTACTCTATAAACTACGTTTTCCTAAAATAAGAGTAAAAACCAAAACATTTACCAAACTAACTTGGATATCCAAAGGCTTAAAAAAGTGTTGTAGAACTAAACGTAAACTTCAGTACAAGTTCTATATGACGAGAAAAATTTTTGATCGAACTAAATATATAAAATACGATAAACTGTTAAAAATGTATAAACATTGCAAAAAGAACAACAAACAGTAAATTTGTAGTAAATAGTAAAAATATAATATGTAGAGCTACTTGGGAAATTATTAAAAATGAGACAAATTGTGTACATACCAAAAACTACATAAATAATATTATATATAATAGAAAGACGGTAACGGAACCTGCTGAAATAGTATCTATTATAAATAACTATTTCATTAACGCAATAAATCAGATAAATTAAAAAATAAAAAATACAACTGACATGAAAGTACCTCAATCTATTTTTCTAACTCCTATAAATGAAAATATTATCAAAAAAATAATAATGTCTTTAAATAACACAAAATCTGAGGGTTATAATTCCATATGTACTAAAATAATTAAATATTGTAAGAATGAAATAAGTGAAATATTAGCATTCCTGATTAATCTCTCACTAGAGTCAGGGGTTTTTCCTGAAAAATTAAAACTTACTATAGTAAAACCGTTACACAAGAAAGGAGATAAAAGTGATATAACCAACTATCGACCAATTTCACTAGTCCCAGTCCTCTCAAAAATATTCGAAAAGGTTATGCATTACCAACTTACTTCCTTTTTTTAGTAAATTTAATGTAATAAAACAAAATCAACATGGTTTCCAAAAAAATAAATCCACAGCACATGCTGCATTCACATTAGTAAAGGAAGTATTGCAAAATGTAAATGAAAGAAACTAAGAAAATGTAAATGAAGCCGCACAGAAGGAGGCGACCAAGAAGACTCCAGAGGATATTCCGGACAAGGGCGTTCATGGCTCCGCTACAACCCTTAAGCCAAAGGGCATCAGTCGTCACGCCAGATCCATGAAAACTACGAGCTCCTCAGCCAGGAGACGTGAGCTGGAAGTCAGAGAAAAATTAGCACGCATGGAGCTGAAGCAAGCCCAAGCTGCGACGAAGCTAGCCCGTGTCATATTAGAGCTGGCACAGTGTGAAGAGGAGGACTCCGTGGATGAAGACCAGGAAGACAGAACAGCACAGGCGCAGAACTGGATCGAGACATCAGTATTGGAAGAAAACAACATGAGAAAACACGCACAATGAGGTCAGCACCCTCCAGAAGAGCCACAGAATGTGAAGACTGAAGAGAACTCCTTAGCGAAAAAAAGGTAGGAGCGAGATTCAAGCGCTGACGATAGCATTGAAGGAAGCCCTTACCACAAGAGGAGGACCAGTAGCCCAGCCAAAGTACATCCACGAGTTACCCTACTTCGATGGCAACAACAGCGAGTGGTTGGCCTTCAAAGTTGTCTGCGAAGATACCATCCCGATCTTCAACGCAGTCCAAAACATGACTTGACTAAGAAGAGCACTAAAGGGCAACGCAAGAGAAGCTATCAAGAGCCTGCTGTACTCTGAAGCCTCTCCATTGGAAGTAATGCAGGCTCTCAGGAGACGATATAGAAGACCTGATGCGCTGGTGCTGGCTGAATTGGACAAGGAAGGCTGATTGGACAGAAATAGCGTTATCGAAGATTTCTGAAAATCCAAGGGATATATGCCTCTTCGCGAGCCAGATCGACAACAGCGTAGTAGCAATAAAGAGTTTAAAGAAACCACAGTACCTGCATTCACCTGAAATGGTAATGCAAATTATAGAAAACATGCCTACAATTCTCAAGTTCCAATGGTATGACTTTACTGCAGCAACAGAAGAGGGCGAGTTCTCCGACCTGACGATGGTCTCCAAGTTCCTGAACATCGAAGCAGACAAATGTGGAGCCTTCGTGACATCAGAAGAGAAGAGCGGGTTCGGAAGAACTCATCGACAAGCGACGCATTCTACAAGGGAAAAGGACTTCAAAGAAAGAGATTCAAGACAGTCAACAGAGAAGACTTGTCCTATATGTCAAGGTGGACACTTCCTCGTCCACTGCCAGAAGTTCCAGAAGACGTCAGTACAAGATCGGCGGGCAATAGTAAAGAAAGGTCACGTTGGCTTCGAATGTCTTCAAGGGAAATATCGAAAGGAGAGCTGTAAGAAACCGCCATGTAAGGAATGCAAGAGGTGGCATCATCATTTGCTGCACGTCGAATCAGAAGACAGGACCTCGGGAGAGGAGAAGGCAGAAACACAAGAAGAAGTAGCAAGCGCCATGACATCAGTGAATGCAGTCAATAACGCAAGGGCGTACCTGAAGATAGTTCCAGTAGAAATCTTCCAAAAGAATATTGGCCCTCATGGATGAAGGGTCCACAGTGTCGCTTATTGATGAAAAGGTGGCAGAAGACGTCGGCGCTCAAGGCAACAGAGAGGAACTGGTCATCGAGACAGTAGGAGGCAGGCAAATAAAGAAGAAAAATTCTCAGGATCTCTCATTCTAGGATGGCTTCCTCTGGCGTGTTTCAGAGGTTTTCCCTGAAGCCGATGGAGTCCCTTTTCGTGAACCAGAGCAGTCCTAGTGTCTTCTCTTCCTTCTCGCCTAGGTCCACTTCTGTCTTCTCAATAGCGTCGATCTTCACGTCTTGCAGCAGCTCGGGTTGATTTGACGCCCATCCCCTGAGTTCGAAGCCTGCCTTCTTGTGTATGAAGTCCACCTGCGTCGTCACTTTTCTAAAGTCCTCTTCTAAATGGAAGCTGTGCAGGTAGTCGTCCACGTAATGGTTTAGCTCGACCGCCTTTGCTGCCTCTGGATAATGCTCTTTGAAGTCCGCTGCGTTTCGATTCTTCACATAGATTGCTGTGCTCGGAGATGAAGCCGAAGATAACTGATGTCATCCTATGCTCCTTCGGAGGCACATCACGACGAGTCCGGCGTCACAAAAACCTCAGGCTATCTCTGTCTTCTGGTCGAATGCGAACTTGAAGAAACATTTCCTTGATGTCGGCTGCCACAGCTAGCGGGCCCTGTCGAAACCTTAGTAGTATCCGGAAGTGTGACTGCAGTAGATCTGGTCCTGACAGTAGAGCATCGTTGAGGCTTCTTCCCTTTGACTTGGCTGCAGCGTCGAATACGATCCTTATCTTCATCTTTAGTGGATATACCACGGAGAATTGAGGGAGGTAGCATTTTTTCTTGGAGTCTTTTTGTGTCATAGGTGCTTCTTCTGCATACTTGCTGTCGATAAAATGCTGGATCTGCTTGATATATTCTGCCTTCAGCTGAGGGTCCTTATCTATATTCTTTTCAATATTGAACAACCTGTTCTTGGCAGACGTGTAGCTCTCAGGCATCTATTCGTCTTCATTTTTCCATATGAGTCCAGCTTCAAATCGTCCATCTTCAAGTCTTCTACAGGTCTTCTCTAGGATGGCGAGTGCTCTTCCTTCTGAATCTGTGGCGGGTCTCCGTGGTTGCACGCCAAGCGCCTCGATTGCGAAGTGGTCCTTGATGGCTTGATGCATCTCTTCATCTGGTGTGCTGACATGTAGACACGTGTTCAGGAAGTGTACTACTGTTACAGCCCCGGTATCTGATCCGTGGAGCACCCATACAAGCACTGTCTTTGAAGCAACTGGTTCTCCTGGTTTCCCTTTCCTTACTTCTTGAGTCACTATTAGCTCCCAGTTGTCTTGAACGATGAGCAGCTGTGGTGACTCCCCTTTATAATAAAGAAAGTCGGCGATCTTCCTCAAATGTTGGCATTCTTCAATCCTTTTCTTCTCTATGAACTGCGGTGCAAGCTTCAGCTCGTTGATAGTCCGGGCTCTCTTCAAGGTCTTCTTGCTTTCTTGATGAACCCCCTTCACTACAAGGTCCAGCGTCTGAGAATCTTTCTTCTTTATTTGCCTGCCTCCTACTGTCTCGATGACCAGTTCCTCTCTGTTGCCTTGAGCGCCGACGTCTTCTGCCACCTTTTCATCAATAAGCGACACTGTGGACCCTTCATCCATGAGGGCCAATATTCTTTTGGAAGATTTCTACTGGAACTATCTTCAGGTACGCCCTTGCGTTGTTGACTGCATTCACTGATCTCATGGCGCTTGCTACTTCTTCTTGTGTTTCTGCCTTCTCCTCTCCCGAGGTCCTGTCTTCTGATTCGACGTGCAGCAAACGACGATGCCACCTTTTGCATTCCTTACATGGTGGTTTCTTACAGCTCTCCTTTCGATATTTCCCTTGAAGACATTCGAAGCCAACGTGACCTTTCTTTACTGTTGCCCACCGATCTTGTACTGACGTCTCCTGGAACTTCTGGCAGTGGACGAGGAAGTGTCCACCTTGACATATAGGACAAGTCTTCTCTGTTGACTGTCTTGAATCTCTTTCTTTGAAGTCCTTTTCCCTTGTAGAATGCGTCGCTTGTCGATGAGTTCTTCCGAACCCGCTCTTCTCTTCTGATGTCACGAAGGCTCCACATTTGTCTGCTTCGATGTTCAGGAACTTGGAGACCATCGTCAGGTCGGAGAACTCGCCCTCTTCTGTTGCTGCAGTAAAGTCATACCATTGGAACTTGAGAATTGTAGGCATCTTTTCTATAATTTGCATTACCATTTCAGGTGAATGCAGGTACTGTGGTTTCTTTAAACTCTTTATTGCTACTACGCTGTTGTCGATCTGGCTCGCGAAGAGGCATATATCCCTTGGATTTTCAGAAATCTTCGGTAACGCTATTTCTGTCCAATCAGCCTTCCTTGTCCAATTCAGCCAGCACCAGCGCATCAGGTCTTCTATATCGTCTCCTGAGAGCCTGCATTACTTCCAATGGAGAGGCTTCAGCATACAGCAGGCTCTTGATAGCTTCTCTTGCGTTGCCCTTTAGTGCTCTTCTTAGTCAAGTCATGTTTTGGACTGCGTTGAAGATCGGGATGGTATCTTCGCAGACAACTTTGAAGGCCAACCACTCGCTGTTGTTGCCATCGAAGTAGGGTAACTCGTGGATGTACTTTGGCTGGGCTACTGGTCCTCCTCTTGTGGTAAGGGCTTCCTTCAATGCTATCGTCAGCGCTTGAATCTCGCTCCTACCTTTTTTCGCTAAGGAGTTCTCTTCAGGCTTCACATTCTGTGGCTCTTCTGGAGGGTGTTGACCTCGTTGTGCGTGTTTTCTCATGTTGTTTTCTTCCAATACTGACGTCTCGATCCAGTTCTGCGCCTGTGCTGTTCTGTCTTCCTGGTCTTCATCCTCGGAGTCCTCCTCTTCACACTGTGCCAGCTCTAATATGACACGGGCTAGCTTCGTCGCAGCTTGGGCTTGCTTCAGCTCCATGCGTGCTAATTTTTCTCTGGCTTCCAGCTCACGTCTCCTGGCTGAGGAGCTCGTAGTCTTCATGGATCTGGCGTGACGACTGATGCCCTTTGGCTTAAGGGTTGTAGCGGAGCCATGAACGCCCTTGTCCGGAATATCCTCTGGAGTCTTCTTGGTCGCCTCCTTCTGTGCGGCTTCATTTACATTTTCTTAGTTTCTTTCATTTACATTTTGCAATACTTCCTTTACTAATGTGAATGCAGCATGTGCTGTGGATTTATTTTTTTGGAAACCACGTTGATTTTGTTTTATTACATTAAATTTACTAAAAAAGGAAGTAAGTTGGTAATGCATAACCTTTTCGAATATTTTTGAGAGGACTGGGACTAGTGAAATTGGTCGATAGTTGGTTATATCACTTTTATCTCCTTTCTTATGTAACGGTTTTACTATAGTAAGTTTTAATTTTTCAGGAAAAACTGTCTCTAGTGAGAGATTAATCAGGAATGCTAATATTTCACTTATTTCATTCTTACAATATTTAATTATTTTAGTACATATGGAATTATAACCCTCAGATTTTGTGTTATTTAAAGACATTATTATTTTTTTTGATAATATTTTCATTTATAGGAGTTAGAAAAATAGATTGAGGTACTTTCATGTCAGTTGTATTTTTAATTTTTTAATTTATCTGATTTGTTGCGTTAATGAAATAGTTATTTATAATAGATACTATTTCAGCAGGTTCCGTTACCGTCTTTCTATTATATATAATATTATTTATGTAGTTTTTGGTATGTACACAATTTGTCTCATTTTTAATAATTTCCCAAGTAGCTCTACATATTATATTTTTACTATTTACTACAAATTTATTGTTTGTTGTTCTTTTTGCAATGTTTATACATTTTTTAACATTTTATCGTATTTTATATATTTAGTTCGATCAAAAATTTTTCTCGTCATATAGAACTTGTACTGAAGTTTACGTTTAGTTCTACAACACTTTTTTAAGCCTTTGGATATCCAAGTTAGTTTGGTAAATGTTTTGGTTTTTACTCTTATTTTAGGAAAACGTAGTTTATAGAGTAATGTGAAAAGGCTAAAGAATTCGTCATACACTTTATTTAAATCAGATTGAGCATAAACTTCACAAAATGAAACGCATTTTAAATATTTTTTAAATCTGTCTATATTTTCTACGGAATGATGCCGAATGAATGAATATATTAATTTTGGTGTGATGTTCTTATTATTTTTTTCAGTAAACTTTAGTACCTGTGCAGATCTGACAACCATAGTGAACGCACAGATCCAATTGCGTCGTCAATGTTATTATATATATATATATATTTTTTTTTTTTTTTTTTTTTCACATTGACTTCAAAAGCTTTACCTACGCCGATTGGGCTTCTGATTCTCGTGTTGGCCTTGCAGTACATATCTTTTATAAGTTCGATATAATACTCTGGCACCCTTTGGACCCGAAGTGCCTGCCATACCAGCCTACGTGGAACTCGATCAAAGGCTTTTTCTACATTTCTGTTTTCTGTTTTTATCTATTTCAATAATATTATCAAACTCAGCATAAACGATATAGTTAATTATTTGTATTACTGATACGTAATTCATCCAAACCACTTATAATTTCTTTCAGTCTACATTTGTACTTGTTTTTATTACCTTCATCTTGTAACCTTCATGTTCTAATACGCTGAAACGCAGTGGTAGATACAGATGTCCGATGGCGCCAACATCTGAATAGACCATTAATTCGGTATAAAACTAAATAATGATACGTTTCTAGGTTGGGCCCTTAGTAATCTACCACTGCGCTGCTAATTCTTTTTTCCACATATATAAAATCTATCATGCTTCTATCTTTACCTCTTTTCCAAGTATATTTGTGAATCTTTTTGTGGTGAAAGAAAGCGTTCGTTACAAACATATTCTTTTCCATACATACAGTGAGGAGGCTTTCACCATTCTCATTTATACTTTCATCACCAAACGTTCTCAATATCCTCTCATAACCAATCCTCTTCAAACCAAACTTTCCATTAAATTCTTCTAACATAACAATATTTTAATTTCCCTTACATTTCATTAACATCATCTTTATCACTTTCCAAAACTGCTCTGGGATATAAGTGGACTTAGACACAGTCTGGAGTGCAGATCCCTAGCACAAACAACTTCTTTAAACCCACTTTCATTTCTATCAATAGCAGTCTTGGGCTTACACTTTCATACTCTTTCACACATTGGCCAATTCTTTCGTACGATCTCATCTACATCAGATCAGTATGCGGTATAAATGCCATGTGTAGTGACATTCTTCCCTTTCAGTTTCATCTACTTTACACATTTTTTATTTTTATTTATTTTATTCTTTATTGCATCCTTAAACAAAAGAATACAAAGGGCGGACTTAATGCTTTTACCAGTCAAACCATGAGTGGTGAGAATTGAGTAGGTGTGGCAATATAGAATAAAATAACAGAATGTTAATGATATTACTAATATATATCATACTACTAATAAATAAACTACAGTAGGCGCTCGATAATCTGGTGCTCGCCAATCCGGTTTATACGGTTACATAACACATCTATTCCTCTATTATACAGCATATCGCATACTTCATCCATCTATTCATACACTGCTCCACACATACATTCAGCGCAGCCTGGGCTTCTTCGATCCACTTTTCGCCCATCCGGGCAATAGAACTTGACGGTTGGCGAACCTCGTCACTGGTTTTCCTCCTGGAGATTCTTCGCTCCCCTGCCCAATTATAGGGGTGCTAGGAACTCAGGGCCATTTCTTTTATTTGGCGTCTTGTGGTGCGAAACTATGGGGTGGTATATTTTACGCCGCTACCAAGGCGAGGAGTTGATTCTGTACTTTCGGCTTGTCGCCCATTTAGCATCACCCGGGGGACCTGTGTAGGTGTATAGGGTGGGCCTAGGATTAGGTTGTCGAAGTTTACAGACGTGAGCGAATTATTATTCTAACAGTTTTATCGGCATTCGCTGATAAACTGTTATCCCTACACTAGTTATTTATGGTGTTTAGTGCTCTTTGTATGAATAATGATAACGTATTTTGGCAAAAGCCCCTCGCAATGATCACATGGTCATCAGCATAACCCAATGTGTCAATACGAAGGTCTGTCGTCTTGTAAAATAGTTGGTTAACCGCAAGAGTCCAAACAAGGGGTGACAGTACACCTCCTTGTAGACAGTCTCTTGTAGTTGCAACCTCAATCGAAGTTTGAAACAGCGCTAATTTTGCCTTTAGATTTGAGAGCATCAACTTCAACCACCTGATGGTTGTGGGGTCTACAGTTTTGGATGTCACACTCCAATCAGCAGAGATGAGGGTCTACTGTCGAAGGCGCTCTCAATATCTAGAAAGGCACAAATGGCTATATTTTTATCCTTCAATGCTTTTTCGACCCAGTCAATAACACTGATCGGGTCTGTTTCCCTAGAGTTTCGTCTACGGTAACCATGCTGGTTGTAATGTATGGGCCTTGTAGCTAGAGCTACAACCCTTATATACATATCTTTAATCTTTTTAAGTGTCTTAATAACAAAGAAAAATAGGATTATAGGCCTCAAGGACTTTGGTAAAGCGTAGTCCTTTCTATCAGCCTTAGGTATAAGTAGAACTTTGATTATTGTCCATATTTCTGGAATATGGGAATCCATGCAAAATTTGATCTGAAGATTTTCACTAGATAAGAAAGAAAAATACTAATACCCCTATGTAGTTTGATAGGAATTATTCTATTTTAGTACAACTGTAAATGTAGCCTATTAAAAAACATCATTAAAACAGGTTCACAATTAAGGAAGATATAGCCTAACATACACATACATACAAAAAAACATACAGTCGAATTGACAACTTCCTACATTTTCCCTTATAGAATAAGGGTGACAAACCTTTCAACATTTTCTCTTATAGAATAAGGGTGCTAAAGCCCGAAAAAATTTAGGTCTGTTCTCCATTAAAAATTAAAATGCGGATGTATTGTCACACCTGAGGACCGAGAGAAATTGCATTGCTTCCAGTAAAAAGGCGTCTCCATTTCTCTACTATACCATATATAATATACCATATAATATACATTTCGTATGGTATATATAATATACCATACGAAAAACAGTAGCATAAAGCTGCTGTTTTACGCTGGTATTCTGTGAGAGCGTGGTCCCTTCCCGGTTGAGCTTACCCATACGTGCTACAACCATATTAAATCTGCAGCAAAGCTCCACCACGTATAAAGTTAACAAAAAAGAATAGGAAATATCCGAAATATTTATTGAATTTATACCTAAATCGTTTAAGAAATTACCTCATATAAATTTCGGAAAGAAAATTTGTTAGGCGCTTATCACTCGTTTACCATACTTTGCGGATAAATTTTGTAGGTACGTGAAATATACCTGAGATTTTCTTGATCCCTTAGTACTCGTGCGTCTAAATTATACCGTGCCGCTTCGAATGCCCTATTTATACCAGCATAAAGTACAAAGTTATTTAGCATGCTAAAACAACAAAGTTTGTTTTAGTTTGTGCTATGTTACGTCGACAGGTTGTTGAACAACTGCGAAATATTGGATTGATAATATACTGTGCGCTTCAAAAACTGATGTTGTTTTAAAATGTATGTTTTACTCGCTTATTTACATATACAAAATTGTGAAAATTCTAAATATCAACTCGTATTCAATCTTATCTAGTGTTAATAAATTAAAACTATTTGAAGATTAGAAACATGTTTAAAAAACTTTTTAACACTATGACAAACTTCTATTTTGCTTTTATTGCATATTTCATTTAATATTTTTCTAGAAAAACGGTCTCCAGTTCTCTACCCTCACAACACGAAACGCAAGGGTGTGGTTCTTTCCTAACAAATCTTCCCAAATATATTTATGCTGAGACATGCTGCAGCTATATGTTAATTATAGCACCAATATATCGGCTCGACCGGGGATGATCTACGATCTCACAAAATACCAGCTTTAAACAGCAGTTTAATGCTGTTGTTTTTCATATGGCTAGTG